CATATTAATTCATATTCACTAAGAATAAAATATTAACATTTAAATTATTGACTTTATGCCAATACACAAATAGTTGATTAATAGTACAGTAATTGATTGTTACTCTCCCAGCAAGAACACATCGGTAGTGACAGTTAAAGTGCAGACAGTAACAGGGTGGCTAGAAATGCTGCAATGGAAAGCACATTTCCAATGCTTCTAACGTCCTTGTCTAACAGGATTTTCTATACAGTGATATCTCTCAGCATTTTGTCCATTGCCTCCTCTCAGTCTGTTTCCTAGTAGCTGTTAATTAGGATGGCAATGATCCCTGATTTTAGACGGGCTCATGACAGCCTGGATAAATCAGAAAATAGGAGACTCACAGAAATCTTGGATGAGATACAAGAGTACAAGCAATTGGTGATTGTGTGTGTGCGTGTGTGTGTGTGAGTGTGTAAGACTTGCTATTTCCCCCAGAAGGGATGAACAGATGACACTAGGTGCTACCACTGGCCACAGGGTGATGATGGAACTCACAAAGACACCTGGTAAACCGTGGGAAGAATAACAGCAGATGTGGGAAACCCCTTTCCTGGAACCTCAAAGATGGCTATCGCAGAACCTGGAGGTAGATTCATTTTGGTTTTGGAGTTACTGAGCTGTGTAAAGGCAGAAACCAAGTTGCACCGTTGCCTTCGTTCAGGAGGCAAATAACAAGGCCAACTCCTGCAGGGCCCTATGTGGCTACATGTGACATCAAGTTCAACTCTCCCTTTGGACAACAGGCTCACCAGGTGCTGGAAAACCAAAGCTATCCCAACTTGATATGAGTATCTCAGCCTGATGGAGACTGGTAGAGTCTCTCAGAAAGGTGTACGGAACAGGCTGCTCTAAATCACGTCATGATGTACAGAACAGGAGCTTTGGGACTGCTCCTGTTTTATAAAACAGCAGGTTGTTCCATTTTGAGTGCAAATGATGAGGCAGTGACTCTACACCTTGGGGTGTTCTCTGGGGCAGGGGGGTAAGGGAAAGGGATTGGTTGTTTATTTAGGCAGTCCTGGAGTCTTTACTCAGGCATCCTGTGCTTGTTGCTAGTCAAGTGTTCTACCGCAGACTCGTAACTCTAGACTGACATCTTGTTTATGCAACTAAACAACTACCATCCAAACAGGCTGACTTAATTTTGCAAATAAAATATTATTCCTGGAGTCTTTAACTGCTATCTCCCACACAGGGAGCAGGAAGTGTTTCTTTTCCATTTTCCCCTACTTCTCCCTAACAAAATAAAAACGTGCTAAAACTTAAAAAGAAATACATGTAACCTCATCAAAGTAAATCAAGAACACATGAGTGCGCAGAACTCACATCAGAAAGACCAGGTCCATGAATGTATCAAACACACCAGAATAATGCAGGAATAATAAAGCCCTCTCGTCTGGTTCATGTGAAGAACACACACTTAACACTGGAGTATGGTGGCACCCTGACCTGTCATCAGACCATCTGGTGTGCACATCAAGGATGAACAGGTGACCAGAAACTCCCAACTCTGTCCCCAGGGCTTCTGCTCAGCTTGGTCCCTCTTGTTTGACATGACTCATCACTGACATTGCCAACTGTCAGGATCCAGTAGGCCCAGAATCAGCTCAGCCTCTGGAGCCAACTCTGCCTGGAATCAACCCTGCACCTTGAACCAGCTTTGTGTTTTGACCACTGCACCTCCGCAGCTCCACACTGGCTTGCCTATTAGTACCTAAGTGCCCTCAGAGACGCCTCCCATCTGTATCCACTCAGTGTTCAACATGGCCTCTTTAGACCTTGCTGTTGAAGCCTTAACCCTTTCTTAGCCATCTATTGTTATGAAGTGTTATGGGTGATCTGAGAGTTAATATTAGTATTTAGTATTGGAACAAAAGAACTTGTGTGTCATGTCAATAGTACATGGGAAATTAATGCCAACAAAGTTGACAGAGCTTGTGAACTTGCTACTATAAATTCTGGCATTATGGAGAGATAAAACATGTTCTGCTAACAAAAGATGAGCACAGCACTGTGGGCTCACAGAGTGAAAAAAATCAGTTGGGGGTGGAGTGCTCTGTAGAAGTTTTTAAGTTCCAGGGTGACCATTTTTATGTCACTATAGTACAATATAAAAACATAGAACAATGTGTTAGAGACATGTCTCAAGGGGTACAGTGCAGCCAAGCGAGCAAGTCAAGCAAGTGTTGTCTTGAATTCAAACAATAGTACTAATAGAGAAAACAAAAACAAACAAAAACCAGACAAGCAATAAGTGGCAACACCTGTAATTCCATCTATTCAGGAGGCAGAGATCAGAGGATTGCAGCTCAAAGACAACCAGGGCAAAAAAGGCTATTGAGACTCCATCTCCAAAATAACCAGCACAAAAACAGGCATGACTCAAGTGGCAGAGCTCCAGCTTTGAGAAAGCAGGAGGCCCTGAGTCCAAGCCCAGTACCAGCACAAAAACTACAACAGTGCCCTGCCTTGGGTATTCTCTAGGAACGTCACATCCTGAATCCACTTTGGCACTCTGACTCATTCTCCCTACCTGCCACAGGAAGCCTACCCTGACTTCCCTGCCAGAGGCAGTCCTCTGAATTTCTCCAGGACCTCCCTCCTGTTGGGGCCTGGGCACTGCTGGCTATTTATCATTAGTTGGCACGTACTTTGTGTCTTGCTTCCATAGTGCTAATGTACCAAGTGTACATTACTCAGCGGTTGCCAGTAGCCTTTCACAGCTACACTAACCCTAAAGCCTGACATTTATGATGATCACTGCAGCCCAAGTCCATTCTTTTGTATTGGTCAGCATAAGACAGACTCTGCTGTGGTGACAAACATAAAGTCCCATAGATTGATAAAATAGGCATCTACTGCTTATTTACACTAGTCTGCTCTGTCTGGTGGCCTTCCTCCGTTGCAAATCCAAGTCAATGTGGAACATGTGTCCTTCAAGTTCAGGGTTGGGGAAGGGAACCATGGATGCACCACCTCTGCTAGGGGCAGAGGCGCCTCCATCTCCTCCTCATGAGCACAAGACCCCAGCTGCACTGAAGGCTGGATCGTGTGGGGATAAATCCATATTGTTTGAGCATGTATTGGCTTTGCCAAGTGTCCAGTGGCAGCGTGTTCTAAGACAGCGCATTCAAGTCTTCAGCACGCACTGTGTCAGCACAGCTTTATCTAATGAGACCCAAGCAGAGGTCAAGCATCACTCCAGGAAAATGGTTTACCGCCCCCCCCCCATATTTGCACACACCCCTTCCTCCTCCTTTCTTCCTTTTTCTGGAATGCAGTCACCGCATAAGAGGGAGAGGGGCTAAAAGTGGAGCCAAAAGCAATAGAGGATTCTCAAGGATTCTTCATCAGGCAGACTTGTTTTCTACTATGTTTTGTTCCACACAAGTTTGATTAATTTGCCCAAAGTAATACCATTTCAGCCTCTGCTATGTGGGGCGACAAGATATCCACACCTCACGGAATAACGGTGAGAATTAAGCAATGTAACAACCCAGGAAGGGTGATCAGTTGGCTAGCCCAACAATGAACGGATGCCCAGTTAAACCTGAATTTCAGATGGACAATACCATTTTCTGTACTCAGTGCAGTATTTTGGGACATACTTATACTAAAAAATAAAAGTCATGTTGAGGTTCAAACATAAATGGGCTTGGGCCTCTTTTGCCTGGTCTCTAGGACACAGCAGCCATTATGAATCCTAGCCCAGGACTGCTCTTAGCCCAGTACTTGACATAATGCTCAAACTCCAGCAATCCCAGTAAATACATTTGGGCAGTGCAAGACTCAAGTGCCAGTGGCAAATGGCTATAGTCCTAGCTATTCAAGAGATGGAAATAGGATTAAGGTTTGAGGACTTCCCTCCCGCCCCCACCCCCTCCCCCCCCAATCTCAACCAAGAGCTGGGTGGTGGTGTACACATGCCACCTCAGCTATGGCCAGAGCATCAACAGGAGGATCACAGTCCAGGTTGGCCTGGGTGCGAAGGACCTTTCCCAAGGGTCAAGGGCAGAGGGCCTGCCTCATTTTAAACTCCAGTACTACTCATTTTGCTCCAAGTGTCAGTGCTGCTGGAGGCTTCTTCATGTACACCAAAGGCCCACACAAACTAACAAACCGCCTTATAGTTTGGTTCCTTCATGGCACTAAGTCAGTCAGGGGCAGAAATGGATGCAGGACCCCTGGCATGGTACAGCTTTCTTCCTACTACAGTATCTCCCCTCGGGTGAGAATCTGGTCTTTGGGCAACCCTAAGCTATCCCCCATCTCCCTCCAAGTGGTCTATGCTGGACCTTGCCGACTGCTCCGGGTCAGCCCAAGGTCTCAGAATCTTTCCCGTTCCCGGAAGTCAGAGTTGCTCTGCCAAATGAACTCGGTGTGCTAAGCCCTTGCCTACAGAGGAACTGGCAGACATGTGCAGGGAAAAGCATCGTGTCAGCGTTGTTACTTAGGTCTATGGCAGCCTCAGCTTAGGCAGTAATGCTTTTTTCTTTCCCTGACTTCTACAGCTCGTTTGTGTGTGAACTGCAGACATGATGATTACAGCCTGAAAGGAGGTTTGTTGCTAGGAATACAGATCTCACACAACTCCACGCCATCTTTCAACCTGAACCAGCAGCTTTCACTAGGGAGCTCATCTGGATGCTCCCAAGATTTCCAGGTGTGCTTTTCCTTTTGGAAGACAGCTGATAGGAAGGACACGTATGGCGATTTGAATGGGATAAATGGAGACACCTCCCATCCACAGCACAGTGTAGAGAGGAAGGTAAGGCTGGAAAGGAACAGGCTGTGGGCGTAGTGATGTGGCAGCAGGGATGGGGAGGGGACCAGGCGCCCTGGGCTCCTCTACTACTGTCCCTTCTCACCACAGCCCCCTCCTGAGAGGCAGGGTGGCCACTTACCTAAGGCCACGAGGGTTCCCCAAACTGTCCCATCCCCTCACACCCCACCACACAGAACCAGTGATCCACAAACAAGAGAAAAGATATTTAATTATTTCTCAGTCTAATCTCTTAAAGCGCTCAAAGTGTTTTCACAAGTGCAAGGGGTGGGATTGTTCTCAGCCAACATTACCAGTGACTCCGACACACGCAAAGAAACTCCAAATCACCGTGCTTTATACTTACTTTTAATTTCTGCACTGAAAAAGAAAAGGAAGGTAAAAATGACGACAGATTACAGTGATTTCATCTTTGCCCTTCTCCTGGTCTTGGAGGCAGACGGGGGAGGCAGGGACACATCAAACATGGTGATGGTGGCAGCCAGAACACCAGAGTCTGGCTACAAAGGGCTCGTCATGCCTGGACACGGTGCTGTCAGCGTGCCAGCTTGGGGACAAGGACAGGCAACAGTTAAGATACACTTAAAAAAAAATATCCCACAATTTCATTTTTAAAACCAAGCACAAAAGCTGACAATGAAATAGGTCCAAGGTTACTTGTCTTCCGGTGAGATCCGGGGAGGCGCCCAGGGAGGCGCCTGGGGACGGGCATGTGGCGTGAACCCCTGCTCTAGAGTGCCTCGTGCTCCCTGCGTCGCTGCCCCTCTCTAGTGCAGATGTGGCCTGCGTAGAAAAGGGGAGCCATGGCTCCCCTTGGCCGGCCTCCCTACTGACAGCAAGAGCCTTGGAGCCGGATCTCTGTGCTTTGGAGGCAGCTGCCTCTGGAATGTTCCGCGCGTTCTCAAGGTCTGCTTGAGTTGTGGGGGTTTTAGTTACGAGCCACACTTTGTTTAAGTGCTCGCTTTATTTTTCATGTGCAAACTGTAACTGTCTAAAGCTTTCAGAAGGTCGCATACAGACACGAACACCTGCAGAGATGAGGGGAGCCACCGGCCCTCCCCCCACGGGGGCGGACAGCGGGTGGGCGCGTTACAGAAATAGTTAGAGAAGAACGTTGGCGGCAGTTAAACTCTAGTCCCTGATTCGGTCCCTTCGGGCAGAGGCGTCCTCAGTAGGTGATTGTCCACTCCTTGACAGAGGCGTCGTGAGAGGTGGTGACCAGCGTGTGCTCGTCCAGCCAGGCCAGGCTGCTCACGTGGTGCAGCCGGTGTGCATCTGGGGAGAGAAGGCGGGGAGGGGGGTTATGGAAAACACGACTCCTCTCCCTCCAGTATGTCTCAGACAGGGAAGAGAGGCCCTGGGGACAAAGTCATCAAGGGCTGCAGAAACCAACCACGAGGGGCTGGCCTGGCTGGAGTCCCCTCGCCGGAGGGCAGGGGGCTCAGTCTTGCACTTGCCAAGCTGCCAGGAGCAGGGCCCCGGCCTCTGTCCGCCATGCCAGTGGCTCTTCTCCAACACCACACGTCCCGCCCCCCACAGTGGTGAGAGCCTTTCATGTAGAAGACAACTCTCACCAGGCAGACTTGGCCAGCCAAGGATGGAAGTGCAGGCGGGCCCATGAGGGCTCCTGCGGTGAACACGACAAATGCCCTTTCTTATTATTCCCACAAGGACACAGTGTAACAACGGTTTACACAGCAAGCACTGGCTTAGGCACTGGAGGACTGGAGTACCATACACGTGTGCGCGCGCACACACACACACACACGCGCGCGCGCGAGCACGGGAGGATGTGGATGTGCTTCTAGGCAATCACTACGTGTTATGGAAGGGGCTTGAGAACCATGGGGGAAATGCCGACTGCGGGACACCAACGCCCCCTCCCGAAGGCCCCAGTTAACAGGCAGGGACCCCAGTTACACTCAACACTAAAGGTGGCCTTCTGTGTGGCAAATGGGAGAGGGGACCAGGCTGTGTGTAAGCAGCGGGCAGGACAGAACTGAGGGAGTCCCTGGGAGCACAGCCACGTGCGACTGTGGAGCCCTGGAATGAGCTACTAGCAAGGGAGCAAATGCTAAGACGCTCAACTAAATCAAATACACTATTAAAACAGCTGAGCCGTGCTGGGCGAGGTAGCTCACGCCTATAATCCTGGCTACTCAGGAGGCTGAGATCTGAGGATCTCGGTTCAAAGACAGCCTGGGTAGGAAAGTCCTTGAGACTCTTATCTCCAATATACCAGTCGAAAACCAAAATTGTTGTTGTGGCTCAAGTGGTGTGGTAGAGTACTAGCATTGAGCTGAAGAGCTGAGGGACAGTGCTCAGGCCCAGAGTTCAAGTCCCACGATTGACCAAAAAACAGCTTAACTTGTCCTGCTTTTTTTTACTTTTGATGCCACTTCTGAAGCTTGAACTCAGGGGTCTGGGCACTTTTAAGGTTCTGTGCTCAAGGCTAGTGCTCTACCACTTGAGCCACAGCTCCACTTCATGGATTTTCCTATATGGGCTGGCTTTGAACCTTGATCCTCAGATCTAAGATTACAGGTGTGAACCACTAGTGCCTGGCTTAAACCTATTTCTTAAAAAAATGTGGCTACTTGGAAAATCTGCCAGCCACATGTGGCACCGGTTATCCTATGGAACAGCACCATGGCCGGGGGAGAGAAGCTGGTGAGGACAGGGCAGGGGAGGGTGCCAGGAACCCTTCTCCTCACGTACTCCCAGGAGGGTGTCCCAGGACCAAGCGCATGGGCCTGGAGAGGACAAGAGCTAGGCCTCCGCGGCGTCACAGACGGCGGCCTCTGGAGCGGCCTTGGAACCTGCGTCAGGGACAGTCTGCCCAGGTGAGGGGTGGGAGTCACCTTGGATCTTGACTCTGGTCTCTGGGTCGCTCAGGGTCCAGACATACACCATCATGTCCATGCCACCGGAGGCAAAGTGTTCATTGTCTGGTGACCAGGCCAGGCACACGATTTTTGCATGATGTCCATAGAAGACATTGTTCTCCTAGTGGTAGGTGAATGAACGGAAGGAAGGTCAGGGTTGAGGCCAGAGCTAGCACGCGTCAGCTCTGCTTCCCTCACGTTGGGGAGGGGGAGGGTCCTGCTCCTCAGCACTACTGCAAGCAAGGCAACCCTGAAGTGCTCCCTGCCTCCTGCTAAGAACCCCAGGGTGCCTGCCACGCAGGGAGGCAGGGACACAGGAGCCTGCACCAGCCGCCCGGTGCCGCCCAGCACGACGCAGAGCCCACTCACCGAGTAGCCATCAGCCACGCTGAACACCGTGACCACCTTGCTGGAGTCACACACAGCGAGGAAGGCGCCGTCGTGGGAGTAGGCCACGTCCGTCACGGGGCCCTTGGCCTCCAGGAGTTTGCCCTCATCCTTCAGCGTGGTGCCCAGAATGGAGTACACACGCACATTGCCGTCCTGCGGGCAGGTGGGGCGGGGGGGGGGGGGGGGGGGGGGAGGTGTCATTCCACAACGCACACACAATACCCTTTCCCGGAGGGAAAGGTCTGATGCCCAAGGTACCACCCAGCCTCAGTTTCCTTCGCATTATGGCCTCAGGGGTCCCCCTCTCATTCTAGCAGGAAAAAGACTGAGGTCAAAGGAATGGGGTGCAGTGATGTGGCTTTTAAGGGGAGATACCAGGCTCAATCCCAAATCTGGACCTTGCCTCCTGGCTAAAGTATCCTATGACCCGGGCCTGATGTCCCTCCCAGGAGACTGACCTGGGGTGGCCCACCTGCGCCACATCACTGCCCAGCTTGTGCTAGACTCCCGGAAGACACTGGCTGAGTCAGTGGATAGAATCCGGAAGACTCTGGCTGAGTTGGTGGATAGAACTGGAAGACACTGGCTGAGTCGGTGGATAGAACAGCTGAGCACAGGGCCAAGGCCTCATCTTCTGGCCTGCCAGGTGCCCTAAGCTGGGGGACGGTGGCGCCACACCCTTCTGGTGTGACACAGCTGCCCAGGTGGCAGAGAAGACTGCTGGGCTCAGAGCATGCTCCTTGCACTGGGACACCATCTCCTCCCGGCCTTCTCAGGAACTCAACACAGCTCACTTGGTCCCCACATAGCAGCACACACATGAAGGTCAGAGAGGACACAAAGAGGAAAAGGCCTTACCGAGCCCCCAACGGCCACTGTGTCCCCGCCGGGGTGGACTGCCACAACCTCAGGCTCATAGCCAGGGTTGTCGATGCTAAAGCACTTCTTCTGGTCCTTCAACAAGACGATCTGAGGGACAGATATACCGCTCAGCACCACAAAGCCATGGGACACTGCTCTTAGCAGGAAGGGTACATACTGATTAGGGACCCTGGACTCCAAGCCACACCCCAGGTGCAGCCCCAACCAGCCTCATCAGTTGAGTGGGGCACTGCCAAGCTCTGGTCAGCTAGCATCAGGAGTTGGAGACTGACACCTGGACTACATTGTCAGAAGCTTCAGAGACCTCTTGTGAAAGACCACTAGAGCCTGAACTTGAAACCATGGGCACAGGAAATAAACAGTGCCAGGTAGTGTTCTCTGGGGAGCAACAAATGCACAAGGACCGGCAAGAGTGGGAGCTGCAGAGTCCCAGTCAGCCAACACCCTTCAGCCCATTCTCTGTGCCCATGCCACAGAGGACACCGGTCGTTCTGTGCCAACAGCTCTAGTCTTGTCAGCAGTAGAGTTCAATGGGCTCCCACCTGAGCACTGTCAGCTGGGGGAGAAAGAGGCTAAGGCACTGCAGCAAGGGGCCTGAGCTTCCTGGACCGCAGCTGAGAACCGCAGTGGTCCCAGGGTGCTTCGTGGTGCTGGCCTGCTGACAGCAGTGCAGGGTGCGCAAGCCACACTGGTCTCTGCTGCTCTTAAAATGCTGCACAGGCACCGCCTCGGCACAGTCATCTCCTGGCCCTAGCTAACCATACATCTGCAGAACGTTCTGACAACATAGTGACACTCTGGCCTAATTGGAGGACCAGGGGGAAGCGCACAAATGGTCCTGTTTCCCAGCAGGAACTAGGCTCTGGGAAGACAAAATTCAGTGGGTAAATCTAGTACTAGTAAATGGGAAGCAAGATCACCAGCTTGTACCCAGAGCAAGTGCCATGCCTCTCGGGTGGGGAGGTGGGAGGACAGGAAGGAAAGGGGAGGCATAAAGACTTTTTACCACATGCCTGGGCACCGCAGCTTCCTACGGGCTGGGCTGGGCCTAGACTCGCTGCCCTTGACTGCCCAAGTGGACATACCCCACTCCGGTACATACATCATGGTGGCTACAGTACTTACTGGCTCACTCCTAGACAGTGTGGCCTGAGGCCTGTGACAGTGCTGGCTCTGTCCCATCTTACCCATGACAGAGCCAGCAGCTGCCCTCAGGGGCTGGCTCCCTTGGGGTTTCTGCTCCTGATAGGGAAATGCCAGGTGCCAGCCCCCACTACAATCCACCCCATGTATATCCAACTTGACAGCAGTATCTGTCTTACAAGGAAGGGGATGTGAACATCTCCCCCCCAAAACAGCCTGAGATGCCATCTGACATGCAGTGTTCCTGTTCTAACCTCTTGGGCCCCTTTAGAATTCCTGACCTTGCTAGAAAGCTGTCATTTGGACAGAGAGCCGGCAAGTTGTGGCAGATCAGGACCTTGTCCCCTGGTCTGCTAATACCCTGCTGGACACTTGCCAACATGTCCCAAGTGGCAGGGCCAGCCTGTGACCACCAGAACACAAAAAAGCCCAAGAGCCTGGGAAAGGAGCTGTCTGAAGCCCAATCACAGGGAAGACTCCCTCCCTTTCCCCCCTCCCCGGCCAGTTCTCATCTGCTCCCCACAAGGACTACAAAGTTGTTCTAATATGAGGCTGGAAGATCCTGCATTCCTTTTGCACCCCCGTGGCCATCCAGGCTGTGCACAATAATTACTTGGCAGGGAGTCGTTGTTATCTAGGGCACACAGCATCCATTCTCCCTGAAGCAATTAGGTTCAGAGTGAGGGGGAGGGAGGGACAGGCCGGTCCTGAATGGTGGCTTTCTTCAGCAAGGTTTGTTACTCCTGCCGGCAGGGCCTCGGCTGCCACCTGCCTTCCTGTCTATATGCTGGGATGCCCAGGCCCACTGACAGGTGACATGTGCAGTAGAGCAGAATGTATATCAAGTGGGTCAACGGTGGGTTCAATCAAGGGCATCTGATCCCACACATTCCGTTAGAAACCGAGTGTAGGTGACATCAGCATGGCAATGAAAACCCAACCCGCAGAGTCAGCACTCCACCTGCTTCCTTGCCCTCATTGGCATGAGCAATGTCACCAATGCTATGGACAGTAGTGGCAGATCTGGCCCAGTTCCTTCCTCAGGCTTCATGGGCCAGCCCTGCAGTGTGGTGCTTGGAGGCACATTCTAGCTTGCCCTTTTATCACTGAGACTCGGGGCTTCAATCTGTGTCTCCATTTACTTCCTGAAAACAGGGGCCTAACTGGCTACACCGATAGTTGGGGTTAGGGGTGGGGTTCCATACAAGAGTGAGTACATGCAGTGCTCTGGTCAGTCACAAAATGCCCCATAAAAATGCTGGTAACAGGGGACACAAGTGGAATGTAGAGGCCAATCCCTTACTCTTCTTCTAGACAAAATTCAGCCAGACGCGTACCTGTCCGATGCACACAACCACGGTATAGCCCCTAGGGCCAACAGCTACGCACTTTGGTTGAACATCCAGTTTCACAACTCCTTGTCCACTGTGAGAGGAAAAAAAACCCACGTTACTTCCAAAGGTGGCTCAGTGTGGGTGCTGATACACACTTACAGTGCATACTTACTGTAAAACCACAGCAATTTGGCTATGTGGAAGAAAGAAAAGTTGACCGTGACCTATACTGAAGGAGTGATTAATTTTAAATGTGGGAGGGCAGTCACATCACGGCCCCTGGGCTCTGGGGCAATGGTGGGTGGGGAAAAACAAGAAGTGAGGAGGAGTGAACAGAATAGTCTTTCTTTCAGCCTTAACTACCTGCCCTCCAGTCCCTCCACCCACGTCTTTTTGGCCAAAGACTGAGTTTCCTGAGTACAGACTAAACAGAGCTCTGTTCTCTCCGGATGACTAGTATTTTTTATTTCTCCCAAGAGGAATCTTTAAGAACCCATTACCCCAAGAAAAAACAATCTACTGGCCTGAATGGGCAAGAATCATCATGGCTAATGTATTGACTCACTCAAGAATAATTCATGTACACACACTTTTGTAAATAAGAAAGGTTCCACATAACTGGGCCAAGGGTGTAACAGATGTGCCCTGCCTTTCACCAGGCCATGGTAGGTTCTGTAACCTCCAACCTCTCAGAGCATGCAGTCATGGCATGCAAGATGCACACAGTGAGCAACTGCACAACTGCTACAAGCTGGAAGCCAGGCTGTGTGGAGCCTCAGGTGGATGGGAGAGTTGTGATGGGATCTGGACAGCAGTGCCGGCACAGTGCTGGGTGGCTGGTCCTGGGTCTGAGGACAGTGGGGCATGGAGGCCTTGTCAAGGATGCAAGTCTGCTTCCCATTTGAGACCTGGGAGCCCTCCCTGGTTTCCCCTTGCCTGAGTTCCGAGCATCCTCACTTGTCCCCAGCTACAAAAACCAAGTTACAATTGCTGTAAGCTGAAGGCACCAGGGCAAAACCAAACAGCAGCCGCTCTGCATTAGAGTGCCTCTGCTCCGGACTAATCCCCAGCACCTGCCATCTGTACTCACGGCAGAGCCTACACACTGCCATCATCTACAAGTGCGGTCACCTAGACACTATAACCAGGGCCTGACAACAGAATGAGGCTAACAACTAAGAAGAGATAGGACACTGGGCAGTGACTGTCCTTGGCCTGGGGTCCCCTCAGAACCTGATGGCTGCTGTTTCCCATGGGCAGCTCTTACCTGTAGTCCCGCAGTGTAAGGTTGGTGTATCGCACAGTGTCATCCATGCTGCAGCTGACCAGCTGCCCAGACTCGTCTACCGCCATCCTAGACACCTGATTTGTGTGGCCTTTCCCAGAGAAGGAGTCGTTCTCTCCCGTCTCAGAATCCCAGTAATGTGGGGTGTGGTTAAGGAGAAGCTTGGCTTCGGGAGGGGGAGGCACCTGCCGCACCTTGTCCAGACAACCCAGAAACACACCAGAGGACAGCAGGATCCTCCAGTGTGCCCAAGCTTACAATTTCAGGACGCCAAGGCAGTTCAGAAGCCAGCAAGATGACCAGGCTGTGAGTGAGAGGGCCCAGACAGCCCAGTCCCTCTCCTTGGAACAATGCCACGTAAAAGTTTATCGAACTCACTACTGTGTGACTGCGGATACAGGCTGAAACCCCTTCTAAAATGCTGTGAAACCTAAAACATTTTGAGATACCACAGGTGGATGGAATATTCCACTTGAGTCCAGGTGGTCACTGTAAAATCAGGCACACAAAACACTGTAAAGCTACCTTCAGGGTAGGGGCACCATGAATTTCATATTTAGACTTGGGTTCTGTGCAATTTGAGTCTGTATATGCAAAAGCTCCCAAATCTGAGAATATCCTGAATCTTCAACACTTCTGGTCTCAAACATTTTGGGTAACGAACATTTCATGCTGCCCAACTTGCAGCCTGATCACTTTTAGAGCAGTCTAGGAGAAATCCTCAGGGATTGGTGGTCACTGGTGGCTGCTGTCCACTGAGACTCTAAGTCAGAAGATTCACTTTGCCTTTCCTGGAACAGTCAACCCTATGTTAGCCTCCAGGAAGCTGGCTGTGCTCACTGCTCAGCTGGTAGATGCCCCAGTGCCATGGGGTATCAGCCCAGGGGCGACCCACCATTCCTGAAGATTCTGAGCCCAGGTATAAGGTGTAGCTTATGATGAGACTGCTTTTATATAAACAAGTAAGAATCGTTCTTTCTTCATTGTGTCCTTGGGAAGCTATGCGTGAATTCTTAGAGTAACTAGGGTAAAGAATCTGTGCCTGGATGCTGATGGACACACGTCAAGTAGGTACAACGGTGCTGGGGTGGAGACCAACCAGGTAGGACTACAGGAGCGATGCTTGTCCTGGGCCTCTCTGCCACTACATATGACTTCTACAGCTGGGCAGTGACGTAGCCTCCTTGCTCCTTAGGAGAAGGGGAACCTTCCTGGGTCTTGTGAAACCCCAGAGCCCCAAAGAAAGCGAGCAGGTTTGAGATTTCAGGAAGAATGCGGTCGGGACAGTTCCCTCTAGCAGCATGTAAACAGGAGGATATTGACCCACAGGGCAGTCCAACACAGTGGGACATTCATAGCGGGTGGCAGAACACACAACTCAATGGCACAGTACCTGCTGGATCAACGACAGGACAAGGGCTAGGGCCTGGGCCCCTGCAGATGGCAGCACCAGGTCCCACACGGTCCTGTATGTGGGTATCTGTGCTCCCCAGCACTGAGGCACAAGAATGGCATGTAGGAAATCTCCTGTTAGAGAAGCCCCAGATGGAGCCCCGACTCCAGGGAACACAAATCACCGAGGGAACCTCCAAGAACCTCTGCTACCAATGAGCTACTAAGCCCTCTCTGGGCTTGTTCCTCCACTTTTAAAACAACAGAGCTGTACTGAAGGGTTTCGAAGCCCCCAGAGTCCTAGGCCTCTACGATCCCATTGCTTGACACAGACAGGGTCAGAGCATGAGGGTGGTACCAGCGGTCTCTAATAGGGAGGAACATAGCTAAAGTTCTGATAAGTCAAATAACACACTAGACTGCACTGAGGGGTCTGATCTTGCTCAGGATGCTCTTCCCCCGCCTTAGGCCTGGAGCAGACAAGGTTCCAAGAGCAAACATTCACGCTAGAGGCCAGTGCTACCTGGGAAATGCAGCTGGGGCCAGTGCCACCTGGCTGGCCTCAGCTCCAGCATCGTGGGAACAGGAACATGCCCTGTTCTGTGAGTGGCTTGAGCCAGCTCCCCGAGTCAAAGGATATTAATGTGTCCATCATGACTCCCAGAGTAGATGTAGGACTTGCCACCGTTTTTGTGCACAGTCAGACACTGTATCGACTTACTGTGACCCTGTGAAGGAGACAAGGTAACAGGGTGAGCTGAGGACGTGTGTCCTGCTCTGTGGCTTGTTAGCCCCATTTAAGTGAGAGGAAGGAGATAGACACTCAGCACATGGCCGAGGTGCGCTGGGACCAGTCCCATTGCCCACGTACACAAGCCATGATCTGCCACCAGCCAGCTCTGAAATGAGAACTTCTGTTAGCGTCCCCTCCCCTTCCTGTCCCAACCCCAGCTGGGTCACGGTCTAAACCAGAGTCCAGGACTTGAGCGCCTGATGTGCACTCACAAGGCTGGTACCTGACCTACCCTACCCAAGCCCCCTACAGGAAGTGCTGACCCTGCTGTCACACAAGTGTCACATACCCGGGCTCTGCCTTGTAGGGACTGAGGTGGCTGAGATGGGATTAACCTGAGGTGGTCCTGGGACTCAACCACTTTCCCAATTGCTGGTGATGCAGGGACTATGTGCACACACAGGATTTGACCACAACAAGCATCTGCCTCCAGAGGGGGCCTTTGCCTCCTTCACTGCTAACGGCACTAAATGAATTGCTGAGGAACGGTGTCCCCTGGTCCCTGCCTGTCTGTGCTTCATTAGCAACGCTCAACAATCAGTTGGTATACTTCATGCTCAGAGCTTTCTACTAGGAACTTTCCAGGCAAAAAGCGGGAAACGGAGGTGTGGCTCAAAATGGTGGAGCAATAGCCTTGAGCAAAAAAGTTAAGGGACAGTGCCCAGAACAACATGCCATCCCCCGCCCCCGCAATCAATCTACTCCCCTATTCCCACTCACTGGTCCCCAGATCTCATTCTGAGGAAGTTGTCCTCAGCCTGAAGCTTAATGTGTCCCTGGCCTTACCTCCCAAAATGAAGTTGCCATCTGGCCTCTAACCTCTGCTGAGATGCTGAGCTTGTATCCTTGGAAAGCAAATGACACCTGTTCTTATCCTGCCCTTCTGCTGAATTTGCTCTAGCTCCCACCTGGCCTTCCTTCAGTGCCCATCCTCCTGGTTACCATCTTGGGACAGAGCCACATCCAGCCTGAGCCTTACCTTGATGACCCGCAGGGGCTTGCTGGGGTTGTTCTTGTCCAGGTAGTTGATGTACCCAGACAGGGAGATGCTGAGGAGGTGGTCCTTCTGCCACAGGCAGCCCAGCTGCTGGTCCAGGACGTTGGAGCCCATGGGAAACGTGCTCACGACAGAGTTCACATTAACGTCCCAAATCTTGGAAGTTTTGTCTCCAGAGGCAGAAAGCAAATGGGTGCTATCAGGACTCCAACTAATCTACTCAAAATGAAAGAAGGGTTTCCTGTCAGCACTGGGAAGAGACCCAGGAAGTAGCTCTGCAGTCCCAGGGAGGCGATGAGGTGCCCGCCCCCCGCAACCCTAGGGGGACCCTGAAACTGTATCTTTGAACTTCAAAATGAACACAAATCCATACTCACGGCATATATTCCTCCATCATGGGCCTTGCTGTCTCCAAGCGCACATATTTTCTCTCCCGTCTTCCCATCATAGATGTAAATCTTCCAAGAAATAAAAATGCATGTGGATCTCAGATCTGTGTGTGTGAGCACCTGCTGTAGTTATTAGCTCACCAATTCTCTGCAGACACTGCTTCTGTCTTTAAGGAGCGAGCCATGAGTGCTAAGCTTTGGTGACACTCCCTGGGAAGTGGGAGGAGGTCCTCCACTCTAGTCCTTACCTGGCCGTCGGCACTGGCCGTGGCAAATCTGTTCCCATCTGGAGAGAAGCGCACACAGTTGACAAAGCGGCTGTGGTCCTATGGGAGAGAGGGCTGTTACCCAACTGAAGGAGGTCAGGAAAGTTCTCTATGAAATACAGGGCGGAACCCCAACATTAGCTGCCATTACAGTGGAGATTCTTACACAGGAAAACCTCAGTGCTAACTCAAAAGTCCAAAGTAGTCCCTGGCGGTGATCAGCTCCACCTCTTTGACCCTGCCTGCTGTTGGCTCGGCTTGAAGGTCACCCTTAGGCTGACCCTCCCTTCCTCATCACAACCCCGAGACCTCCTCCCTTCCCTCTGGGTCCCCAGACATCTCAACTCAAACTCCTAGGCCCTGGCACAGCCAGGACAACGAACCCCTCCTTCAGTCCAGTTGTGGGGGGTTACTGAAAACTAACGGCTTTTAAGAGAAATTAAGGAGTGGTTCAACTTCCACCTGGGAATTGTCTGGAGTGATTATGGGGTACCGTGCATGTGTGCACATGAGTGTGCGGCTTACAGGGACCTTCAGAGCCCAGCTAAGTGCTGGAAGGTCCCAACCTTGCTCCTTAGCTCAGCTGTGTTTAGCTTTTTATTTTTAGTTCCTTTCATTCTTGTACTCTATTTCTATGATGGGCCTTTAGCTGCTTAAATGTAGCTTCTTAGTAGGCATGGCCCACTAAACTCCACTACAGTCCACATCTTCCCACATCAGGGTCTCTCAGGCCCTCCTAACTGCTTCTGCCACAATCATGACCTGTCAATGGTTAGGGCCACTGGGCCTCTAGACAAACTCGTCAAAGACGACCAGGTCCAGAAAGGCTAGGTAATTCAAGCTCAGTCAGTGTAAGAATACAGGATCCAGTTTCTTGTCCAGAGCCATCCTGAGTGCACTGGTTCTTGAGTCCTGGCAGATGCCAGGCAAGCCCAGGCATGCTCTGGCCGGGAGCCATGTCAGGGGTCAGATCCTTAACTACCCAGCTTAACTTCCACCAATCTGCCATCCATTGCACCAGTGCATGCTGAGGGCTGTCCCAGGCTCACAGATGGAGAAAGAAGAGCCCGAGAGACATACTCCTACACACCAAGCCCTCTACAACTACTGGTAGTAGTAGCACTACCCTAAACAATCAAGTGGACCAGAACATCAGCTTGCTTCTGGCCTGATCCTTCTTCAGTGAGCACAGACCCCTACCTCTCCTCCTGGGCTTCATACTGGAATGTCACCTCTGTGCTGTTTCCTCCATGAAGGAGACAGAGGAGCTAGCTGCATGCCAACAGCATGCCCCTGGACCTCTGCCTGGAGGGGAGAACAGGGCATGGGACTGGGAGACCAGAAGTGCTCATTCCAGGGGAGCAGGGCCTGGGAAAAGAAGGTGCCCAAGGGGGGTGCTGACTGCTTTGCTTTGTGTTAGGAATAGGTCATGAGTTAGAGAAAAATATTTAGCCACTGTTTACGTCTATCCTGTAACAAACTCTAATTTCACGAGTCCCGCTGGGGTCAGACACAAGGCAGTCCTGTTCCAACTCCAGGGCAGAAGTAGCACTCTCCTGGGAAGCAGCACTGGGTGCCCAGGCCCTATGACCCCACGTGGGTGTCTCCAGCTCATGGGGAAGGCGTCATGTCCTGGGAGATCTAGGGTCATCACTTCTGGGTCAGGTGAAGCCGGTGCCCATGGAATACCAGGGCCCACATGAATCCGGGGCCTCTGCTATAGGGCTCACTCAGCCACCACTTCCTGCCCATCAGCCAGACACCAAGCATCTGCACGGACAGGAGACAGGTCTGCTCCTGAAATAGCCCCTTCCAGGCAGGGAGCAGCCAACAGCTCATTAGCTGAAGAAAGCGAGGGCTGAAAATAGCACTTCCCACAGGGAGGGCAGACAGTGTGGGGGGCTTGTGGGGAGACATCACAGGCAGTCAAGAGGGCTCGGCAGCTGCCTTCTACCCCGTCTTCTGAAGGCAGCACGGAACCTACCCATGGGTCCAACTTCCAGCCATCGCCACTGTGCCTGGTCCACACCTTCTGGGCCCCTGTGGCCACTGAGCCTTGGCGTGGGCTGTAATACGTCCTCTACATGCCCTCACCTGTCCTCCTCAGGCCCCCACCAAGGTCAGGGGGCACCCAGGTAATAACCCCCAGTCCAAGACACTGAGCGAGGCCTCAGGCCCTGGGCTCTACATGGCCCCTCCAGCCCTTCTCAGCCCACCAGTCCTAGCTGCTGCTGTATATGGGACTACCTGTGCCCTCAGCCTCTCCCATATGAGCCCAAACATGCTATGGTCCTGTAGCTGGTTGGTACCATCAGCTCCTTTCCTTCTGGCACCCCACTCCTCCAGGGGAGGGCTTCTTCCTCAGGCTTAGCAGTACTCCCTAGGAAGACTTCCCCTAGCCAGAGGGGCAGTACCCTAACCTTCACCCATCTCAGTTCGGCTAGGAAGTCCACAGGAGCTCCACCCCACCTCTCGGTTACTCTCCGGACACCCTGGCCGTGCCAGACCCATTTGTACCTTCCTCTGGTGGGTGAGGATCAGGCGAATGGATAACAGGTTCACTCCAATCTACCTTAGGCCTCCCCGGGGCTGGAATAGTCTGCTTGCTGTCAGTCCCAGGGTTCTAGGACTCCAAGACGGGAGAGACTAGTCTTGCTGACCTCCCAGGGAGACCATGGAGAGCAAGAAACGGCCCTTTGCGAAGGACAAGGGAGGGCACTCGGGAGGGCACTCGGTTGGTCGAGGACTCGGGGGAATAACACTCAAAAGGACTTGAAATGTCTGCTTTCTGCCCTGCCGTGAGGAAAGAAACTAGAAAAAGAAACAAACAACCCCTATCACCACTAGAAGCCTAGGAAGACAACACCTGCTGTTATCCAAGACTGCCACTCCCAGACTCTCAATCTCCATCTACAAGGCAGTGGCCTCAAAGCCCAGTTCAGAGTTTATCATGAGAGGAATGAAGATGGGTTCCTGTAGGGCATACATATATACATTCTCCTCAGATTCCCAAACATGGTCAGGCTGGGCAGGTGTCACAGCTCCAGATGACATGGTGATGACAGCTGAAGCCATCACTCTGATGCAAATGAAGGTTCTACTTTCTCGTTTCAGATCACCCAGTATATCTACTAAAATGTGCATGGGTGGGCAGGTGCTTGGGCCTACTCAAGGGAAAAGGTGACCCTTGCCCATCCCCATTACACAGGCAAAGCCAGGATATGGATGCCTGGACCTGGTGGGCCAGGGAAGTCTTGGGAAGTATCTGCCTCTCTAGAATTTCTTATGTGTAGGTGAGCATTTGGCTGCCTGGAACGACCAGAACTTCCAGAACTGTGTCCATGCGCTGGTTCTCAGGCACCGACGCTAAACAGGACAGTTTGCATCAGTGATGGCTGGAGTGGTCATCACCATGAGATCTGGAGCTGGGAGTACTTGCCCAGCCTGACTGTGTGTGGGTGCCTGAGGAAGGCATAGATACGTATGTTCCATGTGGACCCATCTTCTGTTCTCCTTACGATAGACTCTGAACTGGGCTTCAAAGCCACTGCTTCCCACATAGAGGAGATTGAGAGGCTGGAAATGGCAGTCTTGGCTAACAAAGAACCAGAACTTCAGTTCAGAGGAGTGGAGTCGGCCTGCTCTGCTCAACAAGCTCATGAGCAAGAACAAAAACATAAGTAATGTGACGCAAGCTTGGGCAAGTGAGGTTCCTTTGGTTTTTCTCCGAGTTGATGCTTTCCTTGTCACTTGGTCAGTCATGGTTGCTTTAGTACGTAATTTCTAACAACTTAGTTCTTTGCAAGGCAGTAGCTTGCAATAAATCCCTGTGTCCTCCCCAACCCCACCTTTCCAGCCCAGAAGCTCCATGATGTCACCAACTAAGCCCACACCCTAGGCCCTAGTGAGTTCTGGCCCCTGGCATAGACAGACAAAGGGGCAGGGAAAAGAGGCATGGGAATGAATGGGCAATCACCAGATAGAAATGCTTGTGGGCTCCTGACCTGAAGGGAAGTTCCAACTGACAAAAGCTGCCTGACCTGCAGAGACAGGTAGGTGGAATCAAGTCTGGATCCCTAGTCACCATGGGGTTGGGAACAAAATATGACTGCTTGGATTTCCAAGTAAACAGAAATTTCTTCTAACTAAAATTGTCATTTTTAGATGCTAGACCAGTGTTTTAAGAAACTTCAGATGGAATCCTAAACCATCTCTGGTTAACGTATGGATATGCATCAGAGAGTGGGAAGAGAGCCATTATCTTCTTATTTCCCAGGGGTGGGAGTCCTAGAGTATGCCCACCCTGAAGATCTCAGAGTCGGCCAGCTCAGTGGAGATCCAGGGGCCATCCAGTGTCTCTGATCCTTGGTTCCAACTCCTCCTCTCTCTCCTAGGTCTCCAGACAAGACCTGTGGGGTGAGGTCCCTGGGAGACTTTAAGCACAAGTGGTGGAGCGGTACTCACCTAGGGACAAGACCAGCTGGGCACACATTTCTACCTAACAGTTCTGGGATAAGGACTCTGTCCTGGAATTAGCAAGGAAAAGGGTAGAGAATGCTCTGGACAAGCCTTGAGTGAACACATAGGATAAAGGTGATGGAGGGTTGGGCTCAGGCTGCCCAGCTGGAGTCAAACCTTAAGCAGTCCTATGCTGCATTTGATCCACATCTGCAAAGGGAAGGAGTCTCCACCTACAAATAGCCCAGACTAGGGCTGAATCAATCCAGAAGAACCTGTGGGAGTCTCGAGAGAGGGTTATCACTGGGAACAGCCAGGACAGCCTTGGGTTGCCATGGAAACCTCTTGCCCTCTTCCTTCGTCCCCTGGGTTCACACCCAGATGATTTTGCTGTCTGAGCACCACTCACCCCGTAGTCCCCATGTCTCCACACCACTTCGGAAACATTGACCTTGAATCACAGCCTTCAACAAAGCTCCCAAAATAGCCAACTCTACCACCTACCAATTAGGCAGAAGCCACAGGAGAAAGGATCTGACAACCAAACACAGGGCACACCCTGCTAAAGCCCTACTGAGCTTCTCTCCCAAGGCCTACCAGCTACCCTAATCCTGTTTAGGCTAAGTTCCAGGGACGAAATGAGCCCGCTTCATCATGAACAGGGAATTCCTGGACAGCCAAGAGCCCTGGTCCTGTGCTTGCCCTTTCAGGGACACTGTTCTGGGCTCTGATGACTCACTCTGCTGTCATGATAATCCAAAGTCCTCCACAGCAAGCCACTTTAAAGACATTATCTCATCTAATGCTGGAGAAGGGGAAGGAGTAAGCCCCAAACTCAACCACCTCCAAGGAACCCAACAGCCATAAGACACCTTCTTTATGGTAAAGCATCATAATCCCACCTATTTTTCTTTTCCATCAGCACTCATACTGTTTTCTCCATTGGGTGTATGTAATATGAATAGCCAAAAGGTAAAGCCAGGACAAGCACAGAACTCCAGGGCCATGCTGAGCCCTCTACCCCCTTTGCCCTCACTCCTACAGACCAGCCCACACCCAGACTGGAAGGCTGCAAGACAGCTGGATGAGCAGAATGCTGCTCTGGACCTCAGGGCAGCTTTGCACAGCCACAGTTGAGATTCTTGGATTATCAATGTCCACTACATACCACCACTCTACACTGAATGGGAAGTGTAAGGCTAAAAAAGCCAGTGCTTGGCCAAGTTAAGGCGCATGCAAAATGAGAACACCGAAATATGCTGTTTATACCAAAGCCTCAATACACTAACAGGACACTTGGGCATGACTTCTTCAAACTGAGTGTTTCTGCTTCCTCCAGTCACAAGCCACTCTGTAGGCAGTCTGCTTTTCCTCTCCAGGGGAGGCAGCTGACACTGATCCTGATATCATGCAAGCCTGCTTCTCCCATTTGGTGATTCAGATCTGAGGATAACCCAGCAAGGAAGCGGCTGGCTGCCAGTATCCCGGGCTCTCCTTTCTGACAGATCTTCCACCCAAGTACACTCTGGTTGCAAGCATCAGTTGAAAACCACAAGAGGAGTCGAGTACACTTACGCCAATTGTAAACTTGAATTTGAAGGGGGGCCCCTCAAAGAACGCAGCACAGTTATCATCGCTGCCCGTGGCCAGCCGGTATGGTCTGCTCTGCTTGATGTCCACACTGTTGATGACTTTGTTGTGTCCTGTGATCTCGCCTACCGAAGAGCCACTGTCCCACAGGAAGACAGCTCCAAACCTTTATCCAGAGAGAAATTAAGGAGAAAGGTCATCAGTCCTAGATTAAGAAGGTGATGGCCAAGCTGCCAGGAGTGCTAAGACTAGGCCTGGTGTCAGTATAGCCCTGAATCAGGATAAACAAACAGGTCTGAAAGTGTGTGATGCTGGAGTTCTAAGGTTTGTGTCAAAGGAATCCATGAACATGTAGGAGTAACTCAAGTGCCTTTGGGAAGGAACTAGAAGTCCACGTCTATGAGGCCACTGCCAGAGGGCCTCCCATGTGAAGATGCCCCAGGAAGTTGCTACTAGGGGAGTTTCTTTATGCCTTCATCACTTCCCTACTGTTCTGCAGGGAGGGACTAGGAGCCAGTTGCTGTCACTACTGGCAAGGAGCTACCTTGCTCTCAGCTGACACTCAATGAAACCCTGCTGTTCCAGTTACTGGAACAAAAGGAATTAAAATCAACAGTGAGGATTTGATAAGCCACACAAGAGTCAATACCCAACAGAACACAAGCTAGTAAGAGTCTCTGAGTAACAGATACACTGTCAAGTTCAAGTGCTTAGGGGCAGCTGTGGCAGGAACTCTGTTCTCACAGTGGTGACCCTGACGGTCATCGGCCCCAGAGGACAGCTATCATCCATGCTGACTGCTCAGTATTCCTTTGCCTCTTTGCTGAGCTCAGGGGACCTTGAAAGATGGGTCCAGCTAGGATGAACAAGTGTCTGGCTCCTGGGGCATGCTTACAGGGTACTCCTAAAAAGAGGTACATTCGCTTCTCCTGTCCCATTCCTCATGCCTGGGACATGGGCATGACATCGGGAAATCCAGGGGAGAGACTCAGGATGTCGTAAGGAAACGTAAGTGCCTCACTGTGAAGTGGCACTTTATGTGTGGCCCAGCCAGCTGTGAATGGACCCGTGGCTCCAGCTAGTCACACATCTGGCACAGGTAATAGGTGTGATGCCCCCCAGTCCAGAGCCAGGACAAGAAGGGACTGAGGTGACTCACTTTTCCCTTCCTTCCCCAACCACGGCAATCCTTTTACTGTCCTCAGTCCAGGCAATGTCCTTGATCTTCCCGGCAAAAGGCTGATACTCGTATTTTAAAAGGTGCTCCTTCTGAGTGGTATCCCAGATCCTCAGCTTCCCAGAGATATCTACGGGATACAACACAACAATGTAAGAAACGCTGCATTTCTTAGTTGGGCCAGGGCAGTGTGGTCACTAACCACTTAGCAGTGGCTTGGTTTCCCTGGCCTCCTGGAGGGTAGGTCCAGGTATACGATTCTCAGCCAGTTTTAAATCAAGCTGCTTCCCCCAGAACTGCTATGGGGCCCTGCATTTCTCTTGCACACCAGCAAACCCTGGACAGGCACTGGAAAAGCCCGAGGAGAAGTGCTGGCCAAGTCCCAACATGCTACAAAGCAGTTTTGCTTTATGACTCTCAGGACACTCACATGGTATGTGGGACTCTTTAACTCTCCAGATAGAGCCCTTCATTTGTGGGGTGTGCCAGTGGCACCAAGCCCTCCCTCCAGGAGCCGTCTCTGGAGAAGCAGACACCTGCACCCTACAGACCCAGGTCCCACAGAGCCCTGAGCCTTGCTCATCACACATGCTTCCCTGCACACAAGCCAGGGCCGAGTGAGCTGCTCCTAGGAGACGATGAGGTGGGTGTTGGGAAGGAGGAACAGTAACAGAACATGGCAGTCCTTTTCTGTTCTCACTGGAACACTGCCAACCAACTGTAAAGGCAGAGCCGGGGCCTCCTCCTGGATCCTGCCAGCAAGTACGGCCCTGATACACCTCTGCCAAACAAGCTGTGCCTGTGGGAGGAATAGGGAGTACTTTCTCCTGGCTCCTAAGGACTCCAAGCTGCGCCCTCCCTAAGCAAACCATGGAGCTTCTCCAGAGGACTCTGGGCCACCTCACACAGCGGTGGACAAAGCTACTACCTGGTTGCAGTCAAAAGTACCTTTCAAGCCAGGCGCCAGTGGCTCACGCCTCTAATCCTAGCAACTCAGGAGGCTGAGATCTAAGGATTGAAGTTCAAAGCCAGCCCAGGCAGGAAAGTCCATGAGACTCTCATCTCCAATAAACCACCAGAAAACCAGAAGTGGCACTATGTCTCAAGTGGTAGAGCTGAAGACGCCTTGAGCTGAAGACGACAGTGTGCAGACCCAGAGTTCAAGCCCCTCAAGGCCCCAAGACCAACCAGAAAATAAGAAAGAAAAGAAGTAGCTTTAGTTTTTCTGGTTAGAGCAAAACAAGACCAAGAGAGGGTAGAGGTGGAGGCAGTGCAGAGAGGCAGCTACATCGAGCTTCAGGAGGGGTCACGTGTGCAAAGTCGCAGGCTAGTCCTGTGCCTGCTACCAGACCCCTCTCGGCGTGACAAGACATAGCAGGGCACAAAAGGGCTGCTCCCATGCTTAGCCTGGCTGGAGGGGACCCCAGAGAAGACACCTATTTCCCCTAGGTGGGGAAGGGTCCCCATCAACTCTTGGTAAAGTCCAGGAAGATGGTCTGACATGCTGCCAAGGTGTGTTCCAGACAACCCATGTCAGTTAAAGTCCCTTCTACAAACGGAGGGGGTGCAGCTTTTCCAGCTCCTTGGGCTCACTGGCCCACTGTTACTGCGTTATTTCCACCTCCATTCGTAGACTGGCTTCTGGTTGCTTTTAACTGTCCCCCCTACTAGACAGACCATCAGTTTCCCCTATTGGGCCCACTCAGTTGTTTTTTTTAGAAGGTGGGACAGGAAAGGTACCGAGGCCTGGGGACCAGCACCAAGCACCCTGATCAGGGAAGTCCTGTGGAGGCTGCCAACACTAACCCCAGGCCTTCCCACTGGGTGCCAAGCTTCATGGGAGGCCTAGCCCCTATCCCACAGAGGGGAAGCAGACAAAGACACCTTCAACGATCTGTTGGTTGAGACATAGCAGCTGAAGAAAAATTCTGCAGTGCAGGGATAGTGATAAGGGGTAGAGTTCTCTCCTGGAAAGCTCTGGTCTACTACCACATGGAAGGAGCCGTTCCCGGTGTCTTCATCCCCACACACAAATGCTCAGCAAATACCACAGAGCGAAGCAGGGGGGGGAGACCCCAGCTTACACCCATACTGCTGTGTCACATTAGCCCAGGTAACTTCCCATTTAGCCTACGCTGGCTGTGCAGCCAAATCAGGAGTCGGGTCTACCGCTGAGCGCCTGATGTGCCCCAGCCATCTAGGAGTGACTGCCATGGGCCCGAAGGACTGAGGTGGGGGCGGGGGGGGGGGGGGGGTAGATGAGCATCAAGACAGCCCAAGACCAATACTGCTGAAAGGGAAATGAGATGCCCTGGGAATGATCTCTGAACTGAGGCCACTGCCAACCTCCCACAAGTGTGCACACTGAGACTGAACACCTCCTACCCAGAAGGTTCTGTACTTCAGTGGCTGTGGGTCACATCACCTACAGAGCCCTGCGGAGGGGTGGACCTCAGTGGAGGGCTTCCAGGGGCCAGCACAGTCACAAGCCTCCCCTCCCCGCCTCCCCTCCTCCCACATTACATTTAGCCCGGGGCCATCATCTCCAGAGCAATGTTTCATTGTAATCCTTAGCAATCACTTTGCTCTACTCAAAGAAATTGAACAGAAATGTGAAAATGTGATCTCTACCCAGGAGCTCTTGAATTAGGGTGCTTTTAAGAGGAAACATTACATTGACGGTCATTTATAGACCAGCATCAGCCTTATGCATTAGATCTGAAGGCCATGGACTTCTGTCCTGATCACAGTCCCCTGGGGCCAGGCCTCTGCCGGCTGGTGAGGCAAGGAGCGGTGCCAAGCTAGGGATGCCCTTGCCAGCCAGCCTCTTCTGAGAAGGTATTTCTCAGAGTGATGGGCACAGTTTAGAAACACACACTGGACGAAATCTTGAGTCCTAAATACAGAGACAAAATTTCGTTGGTAAGCAGGGCCAAAGAAGCAAACACTGCTGGGTGCCGGTGGCTCACGCCTGTAATCCTAGCTACTCTGGAGGCTGAGATCTGAGAATAGCGGTTCAAAGCCAGCCCGGGCAGGAAAGACCGTGAGACTCCTATCTCCAATAAACCACTAGAAAACCGGAAGTGGCGCTGTAGCTCAAGTGGTAGAGCGCTCACCTTGAGCTGAAGAGCTGAGGGACAGCGCCCAGGCCCAGAGTTCAAGCCCCATGACCAACAAAAAAAAAAAAAAAAGAAGCAAACACTATCAAAGGACTAAAATAAATGATGGAATATGAGTGAGTTTTACACATGCAGTTGGAGCAAACCGAAGCACAATCACCACTAACTGCCTACTCTGTGCCGGACTCCTGTCACACCCTGAGTATAATCACGGTCAGCACTTGTGTCGCAGTGTACCCATTGTCCTGGATGAACTAGCACAGGGCTCTTCTCTCCCTTGTGTCCAGTTTCAATGACTAAAGCTGGGTCATTTGGTGCAAAGTCCTGCTGGGCACTGTACATACACCACATCATTGCTCCCTCCCCCATCCCTGTGAGGGGGTTGGCAGGGAGCCTTGGTTTACAGGAAAGGAAACTGGCTGCATAGCTAGTGAGGGGGGAGCTCTTTTGAGCCTGGGGTGAGCCCACTACTTCCCAGACATACAGCCCCAGGGAGCAGGTCCTGGTGCAGACAGAGATGGGGACACGGAGATAAAGATGCCCTTCCTCCTGCTAGGCAATTCTCTCAGTATTCAGTTTCAGTTTTTCTCTGGAGATGCTGAGATCACATCAGCCCATCCACACCATCTTCCCTGGGCCTGGATAGGACTAAGGCAGGCCACAGATACTTTTTGAGTGTGTGAATGAATAAGTGAACAAATGAATGAGATGCACGGTATACCAATCTACCGCCTATGCTTCTTTTTCTCAACTGTGAACGGCTAAACTCTACCTCCCAGAGCTGAGTGAATAAAACCCCTACAGCTGTGTAGGACCCCCCCTCCCTGGCCCCAGCTTCCCACTGAGCCACACAGAAAGCCCAGGCTGGAGGGCAAAGGCCAGGCCTCACATACAATGCCAGCTGGCTGGGAAAGGAGCAGCAAAGTAAGGATGACACAAAACACAGCGTGCTTGCACACATGCACACAAACACACAAAACCCCCATCAGGGTAAAGCCACTAGAGACTTTGGCTAGCCTCACAGGGGTATTCTTGCTGACCTGCAAGTTAGAGTCTTCTAGAACACGTAAAATGAAAAGTGTACTTTCCAGAATAAAGGCTAGGCCTGCAATGAGGCATTCTGGTGGCTTCTATTTTCCTTGTCAGCCCCAATTAAAGATCATTATCTGAATCCTCCTTGCTCCTAACTAATCACATCTTTCTAAGGTAGCAGAGCCCAGGCTAGCCCGGCCCTGATGCCCTCTGGGCCCACAGCACACGCATCCTGGGCTCACATAGGTACCTCCAGATGCAATGTAGAATCCACTGGGCGCATACTTGGCCACCACCACCTGATGGGCATGCTCTGTGTAGATGTCCGCAATGGCTGGGTTCTGCAGGGAAAAGAGCATACAGTAAATAGGAGGAATCAGGCAGCCACATGGTGCCCCTCCCTGATCCACAGAAGCGGGGAAAAGACGCACACCAATACTTTAGTAAGCTGTCAGAGGAACCAAAAGACTGACCTAAGGAAGGAAGCCTGTGAAATTCCTTTCCTCCTATGTGTGGAAACCTGTCAGCTGTGTCTCCTCTGGTGCTGGCTCCCCTGTGCAGCACTGAGTCTCTCATGACACCCCCCCTCCCCCCTGTGTCTGATCCCATCAGTTCCCAGAGGCTCGCAGAGCAGGCATGGGGCTGGGGGCCTTCTTTGAAAAAAATGCATAGATCAAAGGCTTGCTTTGTGGCAAGAATGGAGCCTGCCTTTGGAACTAGGATCATCCTCAGTCCTCAGCAATGAGGACTGGGCGTGACATTTTCTAAAAGTGGATCTCTCCCCCTGTGCTGCCCCCACTCTCAATGGTCTCCACAGTCAAGCGTTCTTTTGGGAAGAAATAAAGATGTGGCCATCTATTCTGGTGCTCCTGCTGTCAGCTTCATAAACCAAGGCTTTTGGGTAAAGAGGCATCTTTCAGACTCAGGGTTAGGACACAGCAGGGGTGTGTGGGAGGGCTGTTCAGCTTTCTAGAACCCCAACCTGCTCAGGCTGCTTGCAGCCCCTTCCAGCTCCCTCTGAACCACCAGGAAATCTCAGAGGACCCCTAGCTGCCATTCCACAGACCGAGACCAGCCAATATTGTTAGCTAGCTTGTGGCATGGCCTGTGTAACCTGTCTGTGTACACTGCTCCCTCAACCATCCTGTCTTCACTCCTCAGATCTATCTGCCAGCTCACTGAAGCCTCCCAGGACCATTCAAAGGGGCTATTTACTGTGTTTCTCAGGCAGTCACAGCACCCAGCGCAGTCCCTCAAATTCTCGTTCACCTCCTAGTTCCGTGACCTCATCTCTTCAGCCAGCAAAGTGCTCAATAAATGGTTTTGGGAAGGAAAACATTTCTAGTCTTTCATCTCTAAGAATTAACACAGCATTATCTATCACATGTGATTCACACATTATCTATCTTGAAAAAAAAACTGCTAATGAAATTAGAAAGATGGAATATCCAAAATAGACATTACAAAATGACAAATAACCCATTGAACAGGCATTCAACATCATTTAGCTTTATGGAAAATGTCAATCAAAAGTATAATGGCTGAGAATCACAGAAAGACTGATACCACTAGTGTTGGTCAAGGATGGCGGACGCTGGTACAAATGTAAAACAGTGAGAGCTGGAAACAATCAGCAGTTATTTAAAAGGTGGACAGAGGTATTATAAAAGGATCCCATTGCCTGGTACCTCCCAAACGCAGGAAAGCAAGGGTCTGCAGGAAGGCCTGAATCCAGGATAGCCCCAAGCTGGGCCTAACCTGGCAGGATGGAGGGCATCAACCATGGGAACAGAGAAATTGGGTTAAGTGTGGTCCACCTACTCAGCCCAACCTGCTCAGCAACAACAACAAACTATAAACAGGCAACTAGAGTGAATCTCAAAGGCTCTGTGCTCATTATGCAAAGGCATAGGAAAGAACACACTGTGTGACTCCTTTAAGAAGTTCTAGAGAAGGGGACTTCAGCCACGAAGATCAGCAGCTGTTGTGGGCTGGGCAGAACAGCATGCCTACCGAGGCCAAGAGGCCTTTTGGAATGATGGGAATATTACCGTAACTGTGCCTATGGTTATGAGACAAGATAAATCCAAGCTATGTAGCTGTTTCTAAGCCACACCCACTGAAGTCAACCCACTCTTCACCAAGAGGCTCTGACATGGTGGATCAGGTTCCCTCACACACCACCAGGTAGATGCAGCCACACAGCAAGTGCGGCCTAGAAGCTGGCTGAGGGCCCTGTGCTGCTGTACCATGGGACCCCCCCCCCCCCCACTGGACTCACTGTAAAGCACGGTGACCGCCTCCCAGGCCACACTGCCTTCCCAGGGGCAAGCAAGTCTGCAGAAGTGATCCCAGGATAGGGAATGACAAGGCTGGGCCCCGGGAGGAAATTCTGTCCCTAAAATTCCTTCCCCTAAATGGTCAGGGATCTGTAAGCAGGGTGTGTAAAGCTCAGAAGGGCAAATCCTGTGCTGGGCTGGATGAATCACACATACATACTCACTCTCTCTCACTCTCGTTTGTATTCTAAATACAACTGGGTCAGCCATGGGGTGAGAGACTCCAAATTACAGATAATGACTTACATCTGAGTCAGCGCAGCAGCTCCTCCCTACTCGACTCAGACGCGGTGGGAGCCGCTACACGCACCAGAAGCCAGAGAAGCCTGCCTATCCCGGTGGAGCCCTGGTTCTCCCTACTCGACTCAAGATGCGGTGGGAGCCGCTACACGCACTAAGCCTGCCTGTCCCGGCGGAGCCCTGGGCTGTCAGAGAGCTTCATCACCAGGCCTGCTGATGTCACATCCCCTGCGGCCCCTCTCCCTGGCCTTCTCCCTCACAATCTCAGGGAAGCAGGTCTGGAATGAGGAGAGAAGACCGGAAGGAACCAATTTCAGGAGCACCAGGGTGGTTACAGCTGTGGGAAGGGCCTCCAGCCTCATTCCCCCATTCAAAACAGCCGCAGGGTGATCTGTGCCGGGTGCTGCTCCCCTCCCCCCCTTCCTTCCTGTGCTGCTGCAGGCAGGTCCAGCTCCGGCTGGGGACACAGGTCTCCAGGCTGAAAGCAGGAAGCCCTGGCTCCCTCCCCTCGGGCCGCCCAATCTTCCATCTTTCCACCCACCGCCTTTGCAATCCGGTTCTTCCTGTCCCTTCTGGGCACAGCCACCATCACTAAACCAATTCCTCCATGTCCCACCACACAGCCATGGTTTACAGGACACCCTGCCACCCTGTCTTGCCCAGGAACCAGTGCTCTCTTCTGGGAGCCCTGTCACATGGGAGAGCGAAACACACATTCCACATAACCCTCACTGTATGTCCTGCCCGAGAGGAGACTAAGCTGCAGAAAGGCTTCCGGAAGGAGTGACACAACCAAGCCACCCAGGGCAGGGTGCAAATGCCCCTGCAGGACCCACGTTCTCTACTCTTCAAGGTGAGGTCAGATCCTAGGCTACCTATGACAGTTCAGGCTCTCATCTCAGCTCCTAGCCTTGGGTGAATACATTGGAACATGCTAGAAGGTGGGAGGCCTCGAAACCAAACATTTTGGCAGCCAATACAGTGCTGCAGGCGGGGAATCCTGTGCAGAGGGTCCCCTAGTCCCAGAGAAGAACTCCCCACTGTCCACCTGGACAGGACCCTGCTTTTCTGAGTACACTGGTGCTAGAGAAGGCAGATTCTGGGATGTCTGGGCCAGTGCACAGCACGCAAGGTCCTCTGTTCACTGGTGACTGGGGCTGATCTTGGACTACCTCCCAGAGAGCAGCACTTACACTGCAGGCTAAACTCAAGAGGCCAGGGCTACTGCTTCATAGCCACCCACAGCTTTCCCTGGGGGCCCAGCAGTGGATGCCTGTTGTGACTCACACAAAGCAGGACCCATCCCAAACCCCGTGAACTCTAGGTGTGTACTCTTGGTGTGCAGAAGCAGGACCATTTCTACTTTACCTGCCCCAAGCTCCAGCCTTTTCTCTTTACCTCACAGATGGCAGATAACCCTCTTCTCTCCTGACTGGGGAAGGAAGAAGCACATCTAAGCCTGCAGGAAGTCCAGAGGGGCTGAGAAGACCCCAGTCTCGTGCTGTTCCCTGTCTGGACTTTCATCACATCTGCCACGTCCTGGGAGAGCTACTCATCCCCTAAGACCACGGTCTGTTGTATGCAGATCAAAATACCACTCTACATGGTCTAGTGGTATCTAAATGTGCCACCCTTCTCTTTTGCAGGACATATGGTTCTCCCTTGTTCCCCCCCCCCCCCCGCCCCGCCCCCAACCCAGGATATTCTTGGAAGTACTCAACCCAATGAGCAAGGTTATTTACTGGGATTCTCAAAGCCAGCACTAGTGGCATTTGGGCTGGTTAATTCTGTCTCTGGATGGTCCTATGCCACATCTCTGGCTTCTCTCCATTAGATATTGGCAACACATCTTCAAACATGGTCAGTACCCAGCAGGGAGTTTTAAGGGGGGAGGGCAACTCCTCTCCCCCCAGCAGCAATGATTGACCTCTTGTCTTGGACCTGTGGCTTATGGGCATAGCCCAGAAGATCCTGGCTTAATGGATGGGTGCTGGATACATCAAGAACCAAGAGATGGCTGTACCAACTGATGAGATGCATTAATCTCCAAGCAGTTTCCTAATTGGCTTTCTGGACTCAAACCTTAGCTTCACACCAAACTTTCTGTTCTGTAGGGTTAACCTACGCTCTTGTCTACCTACCAGTGGCCGGGGGAGACAAGGCCAGGGTCCTGCAGAGCTGCCTGCACCACACACTCACGTCTCATCCCCAAGGCCTCAGCTACTACCCTGGCTTCACCTTACTGGTCCCACTGCTCCTTCTTTGACCCCCTAGCCCCCCAGTCCCTGGCCCCTATACCCGTCCCTCCCCCCCACCCCCGCCTTTCCCTCACATGGATTGTGGTCAGGCTGAAGGGTATGGGCTCTTGTTGGTCCAGTTCATCTAGTACACTACCAGCCTCTGTTGTGCAGTTTATATCACCATGACAGTAAACTCCATGTGGCAGGCCTCTGAACCTGTGGCTGCTGGCCACCCTGGACTATGTGGCTAGACAAAGGGTCTTATTCAGTCCTCAACCCATGTCCATGAACATAAAGAGGATACTTGTACTTGAGGCTGGAAGCGTCTGGCCAAATCCAAATATACACTTGGATATATACAGCAATGTTTAACAGCTGTATTTTATTCCCTAGAGGGTGTTGGTGACTCATGCCTATAATTCTAGCTACTCAGGAGGCTGAGATCTGATTCAGACTAGCCCAGGCAGGAAAGTTCACGAGACTCATATCTCCAATTAACCACCAGGAAACCAGAAGTGGTGCCGTGGCTCAAAGTGGTAGAGAACTAGGCTTGAGTTAAAAAGCTCAGGGACAGCACCTAGGCCAAGTTCAAACACCACAGCTGACAAATATGTATTTGTGTGTGTATATATATATATAAAACCTGAAGTTTAATTTCATTTTATAGACCTAAGGTTTCCAAATGTAAGTTTTGGCTCTATGATCTAGGACAGGTAAAAAGTCTTGCATGCAGGAACTCTGCCCCAGGTTAACTTCCTTGAAGAAAGGTACATACTTTCTTACCACACATAGCCTTACTTCTGGAGCTTTCTCCTGGATTAGTTTGCAATTGGCCTCTATTACATGCTTTATCCCTGTAGAGAATTTCCTCTTTTAGAGAAGCAATGGGATGTGGGATGTATTGAGTGAAAGAACTAAGAAACATCCCACTGCTATGAGCTTGAGAAATTGCTTTTCTCATGAAACAACTTATAAGTCAGAAAAACAACTGATACAGGTATCTCCCAAAAGGAAGTTGCAAGAGTATACTTTAGTAAGTTTAAATGGTGGGTAATGTAAATTTAGATGCAGGAAAGCTGGGCATAGTGTTACAGGCCTATAATCCCCCAAACTCAACAAAGGCAGAAGGATCATGAATGCCAGGCTAGCGGGGGCTACATGAAAGAATCTACATTTTATGCAATCTACATCTTCTTTCCTTAGGCAGTAAAACCTTTGTGGCATTCAGGTCCATGGCTCAAACAGTTGCCACATGCCAGGCTGGGGAGAAGCTTGCTTTAATGGAGCTAACCAATATCTAGCTAGGAAGGAAAGGCAGACACCAGTGCACATTCAGAAATGGCAGCAGCCTCCATGTCAGCTTGTTTCACATTCAGTTAGCACTATGCAACAGAAAAGGCTAGGCTTTTAGCAGAAACCCTTCTAATAAGGTGGTTATCTGAAGAAAAGGAGCAAGCCTTGTGGACATTGAAGAAAGAATATCTATGTAAGGAGATAGCAGGTCCCAGGAGGGCGATGTCAGGTTGGAGAATCAGGGAGGCATGTGTGCCTGGGTCTGACAGAGGAGAGCTGGGCTGAAACCATAATGTAAAGGACCCTGGCTTTCACTGATCGAGGGTACAGAGGGGAAAAGTCAAAGAGTGACTGTCTCCCCGCCTGAAGAGAAGCTTTCCTGATAGGAAAGCATAAACCATGGGTGGAAAGAGGGAGTCATTGACTGTTTTTTTTTTTTTTTTTTTTCAGGGCTGGAGGGGATAGGGTAGGAACAGTAATAATCTGTCAGAGTTGCTTGTGGTCAGCATAACCAAATGGGTATGGTAGCTAACCGAGTCAGAAGGCAACATTTTAGCAGCAAGTTACAAGAAAATTCCAATTCTGGAATGATGTATATAGGGTGTAAGATACCAACAGACATTTTGCCCCTCTATGATGGGGCCCTTGCCGCTTTTCTCTCTTCCTGACCCCATATTCTAACCAGATACCTGAATGTTCACAGGAATTCACCTTTCTCTCTGATAAAATCTTACCAATTTTGCTTGAGGACCAGTGGCCCATCAATCAAAAGATTATCTGACTATCCAGCATAGGAAAGAACATTCTGAAAGCACCCCATGCTGTCTGGGGCAGGAAGATGCATGTTCAGGACAGTAGGGTTTTAAATTCCAGAGAGGGCAAAGAATAGAGAGCTCAAACAAGTGCTGATCGAGCTCCATAAGTCAGGAAGCATTTTCTGCAAAGGGATGCATGTCTCTGGTGGTGAAATCGGCCCCTTTCACCTTACTGAGCAGGACTCCTCTGGGAGTATCAGGCCACTGTAGATGGAAGGGAGAAGCTGGCATCATACCAGACAGAGCAAGTACTCCATGCAGTGCCCCCAGCTGGAAGCAAATGGAGAGTGCAAAGGCAGGAGATTTTGTCAGGGCAAAACCACATATCATACTGCCAGGTCCTCACTCCACTGTGTAGGCCCTTAGTGATGGCTTCCCAGTCATAGGAAGCTGGATGCACTTTCCAGGAAACCTTGTGACTAGCAAGTTGTTAATATCTTCAAGGCAAGTTTGCACCTGCCTCCCCCCCTCAAGTGAGGGGCCCAGCAGTCAATCCCTGGCAGGGCAGAAACTATCAGGAGTCCTTTTCTTTCAGCAATAGCTGGCTTACCTAGACACAGGAATAGAGCTAGCAAAACCACAAACCAGGGAGGGATCTCTCATTTTACAGAAAAGGTAACACTCCTGTGTGCTCTTAGCCAGCTGTGAGGATCCCAGGACGGAATGTGTACCTATGAGCCACAATCTCAACCCATATATGCTTCTGGATGCAGACTGGAGCCAAAGCTGGCATCCCTGTGAGGAATGTGAATACCAGCCCCTTACCAAGCACAACACAGAAGCCACCACCAGCAGCTACTACCCAACCCGTATCCTTGCGAAGAAAAACAAGCACCACCTGGTAAGGGGAAAGGGTATTGACAATCAAGCTGGGTCATTTCAATAATTATAGGAGAATAACAAGAACCTGGCAAGGATTTCCCAGGTGCTGGTGCTGGAAGCTTCAGCCGGGTACAGAAAGCCTGCAGAGAATGATTCATAGGAATAAACTGGTTCCTGTTTTTGCTCTGAGGCACAGATCCACAGCGGCAGATCAGGCTAGAGTCCAGAGTGTTGGGTGTGTTCGTACTGGCTCTGCTCTGGCATACAGGGAAATCTCGGGCACCAATATGACTGAGCCTGAAGTGTTTCCCCAGTGTTCCGTGGATGCCAGGCATGGCGGGCCTTGAGGACAACCGACTCATTCACTTGGTCAGGGGAAGTGGAGGAGGGTCATCACCTCACCATCTTCCTTTTTTTATTTTTACCCCAGAGAAATGTGGTCTCAGAAGAAACCCAAAGTCACTTCTCACCCCAAGATCAAGTAGCCAACTGGCCGGGTCTGTCTGGCCCCTCAAACCCAGAGACGTGGAACTAACTCAAGTCTCAGTTTCCCCAGAATAAAAAAAAAGAAAGCCTGGACGATGAGACCATCTCATCACTGCCAGGTGGCGGCTGTAGGGGGTGTGGTGTGGGGTGTGTGTATGTGTATGGGGGGGGTTCCCTCACCTTCCCCAGGCCGCTCAGCCCATGGGGGGGGCGGGGGGACGGGAGGGAAATCCTGCCCTCTCCCGCGGCATGCACAGGCAGGCAGCACGAGGCCCCGTGGGCATGGGGGGGGTACTCACGTCGATGTTCCTCAGGATGACGCACTTGCCATTGGTGTACAGGAAATTGTTGCCCTTCGGGTCCCCGCCGAGGATTTTGGAGACGCCCCTCTCCACCTGGGGGAGGCTGGCGAACACCTTCTCTGCGGAGACACAAGGCGGGGCGCACGTGAGGCTCGGCGGCGGCGGGGCCCCGGGCCCGCCGCGGGCCGGTCACCTGTTGCCTCCGGTGGGAGGGGCGGCCGCCACTTTCCAGGAGCGCCGGGCCGGCCGCCACTTCCTGCTCCGCGTCCCCCTCCCCCGGCCTCCGTCAGGCCCCTCGACGCGCCGGGGCTCCGCCGGCCCGGCCCGCGGCGCCCACTTCGGGCGACCCCCGCCTGGGGCGGGGGGGAAGGTGGGCGCCCGGGCGGACCCGGGCCGGCCGCGCCCTCCCCCGCGCGGACCCCGGCCGCCCCCGGCCGCCGCGCCCGCCCGGGCCACTCACTGATCTCGTACGGCATCCTCGCCCACTTGTTACCGCGCCGCGCTCGCCGAGAGCCGGGGCACCGGCCGCGCTCCAACAGTCCTGGCCGAGGCCGAGCCCGGGGACAGCGCGGAAGGCGGCGCCGGGCGTGCCGGGCGCGGAGGGGGCGGTCCGAAGCCGGGCTGCGAGGCCGGCTCGCGCCTGCCCTGCGCGCTGCCGCTGCGGACGCCCGAAACCCGGAAGCGCGGTCCCGGCGCGGCTCGCCCCCCAGCTTTGACCATATATAGTCAAGCGCTGGGCTCCGCGGCTGCGGCCCCGCGAGCCTGCGCGGCCGCCGCCCCGCCCCCGCCCGGGGCCCGCCCCGGAAGTGACGCGGCGCCGCGGACCGTCAAAAGGCGCGCGCAGCTCGCAGAGTTCGGCGGCGCCTCCCGGGTCGCGTTCGCCCTGCTCGGTCTCTGTGCCGGCGGTGTCGGTTTTCCCGCTGACGCTCTGGGGGTGCGGGAGGCTCTGACGCTACAGGAGCACCCCCCCTCCTCCGTGGACCTCCTTCCCGCCAGGGTTCCCGCGGCCTGCTCTCCTCGAGCCTTCCAGGGGGACGCAGGCTTTCCGCCCCGTGGACGACCCCGAAGCCAAACAAGTACCCCCCCCCAGCTTTCCTTCCTTCAAAAGTCTTTTAGAAATAGGGTTTGCTGAGGGCAAGGTCTTCTGTCTTCCTCAAAACTTTTCTGGGAAAAAGTAACCAAGAAGCAAAAGCAATGTAGGTGCTAAGAAAATTGGGGGGGCGGCGTGGGGGGGGAAAAACGTCTAAAAAGCTGGAAGGGTTCAGGACCATGGGAGGGGGCGAGGAGGGAAAATGAAGAGCTGTGAGACACCTGTGGCAGGCTACCTGAAAAGCTACTTGAAACAAGCTAGAAAACCTGGGGAGGAAAGGGGGGGGGAGGAAAGGGGGGGCGGAAAGGGGGGAGGAAAGGGAAAGTGGGGGAAGTTGGGGAGGTTGGGGAGGAAAGAGGGGAAGTTGGGGAGGAAAGGGGAAAGGGGGGCTTGGGGGGTAGCCTTTGGCTCCCCCCCCTACTATCCTGCCCGGAATAGTCTGTTGATTCTACTTTTAAAACTATGGAGTGTTCAATGTTCCTTGACTTCCTCCCTGGACTGTTAAAAAGTCTGCAGAAGCAAGCCTTCCCTCGGCCTCTCCCGTGGCTCACCTGGGTTGTTGCTCACTAGTTCCTGTAGGCTACCTGGCCTACCCTCCCCTACCTTTCTTAGTCTTCTCCAAGTGGCAGCCCTGGGGGTCTTTTGTAGATTTTTTTTAATAAAGAAAAACCGAGTTCTTAAAACATCCTTAGGTGCTATGTGGTAGGCCTCAGGTGTTAGGTCAAACTTGCCTGCACTCTGGGTAACCCTCTCCCTTCTCATTTTGGCTGCCTTCAGGGCCTCTATGAATTTTGTTGCTTAATTGGTATAATCAGAAATCGACCTGGCAAAACAGACTTAGCCCAAACATTTCTAGATCTCTGGCAGGATGCTGGGTTCTATGACTATCCTCTCAACTTCCTAAGTAAAAAGTTAACATGCTGTGTGTGTGGTGGGGGTGGTGGTGGACAGCTGTTAGTAGTGAGAAAAAAACACATACCTAAAGAAAAATATCTAAAGACAGGAAATAGGGCAAAATATTTCCAGGGAGTAAATAGGAGGCCTGCCAACCTATTCTGTGGTTCTGTCCTGAGGGGTGAACTCAGTTGACTTGTCTCACCTGTGGAGCTCAACACTAACTGGAGCCAGCTGTAGCCAGCCTACCCTTGGCTTCTGTAGTCCCATGTAAACCTTTAGTCAGACCTCAAGATTACTCCACTGACATATTTTTTGTGACCAGGTGTCAAAAGCACAGGCAACTGAAACCATAGTCTCTTTCTTCCCTTACTGCTGACTTCGTTGACATGTCCCCATTCACAGTGCCCCATGTTCTCATGCTTCAAATTACAATGGCCAGAAATTTCACCTCTGCTCTTACCTCCTACCCCATACTGCCCTGATATTCGTCATTGCCAAATCAAGTCGCAGTGAAAGCCCAAATTTCATGCCTACCTTGAGCTCAGTCATTGCTGGGATCCCAGCTTCACCTCACCTGAGCTTGAGTCCTGACCATTTTCACTGCATCTACCCTGGCCCTCACTTTAGTCAGTGGCCTGAACCTAAACTTTGCCAGCTATGTTACAGAACTACTTTCTAGCCATAAAGCCTTCCAATGCTTAACTTCTGCTTGGTTGTGTTCTATACTTTTTCTGTCCAGCCTGTTGACATTCCAGCTTAAAGCTAATCCCTTTTCAAACTACTGGTACCATGTCTGTTAGGACTACAGGACCATTTTCTCATGCCTTGACTCCAAAGCAAAGACTGCATGTATTCCAATACTTAGCACAGAGTGCTCTAGACATTTGAAGCTGCTGATTTGAATTCTTGTGAGGGAATTGGCAATATATGCCCTAGATTTGCTTTAGATTCCCAAGTGTTTTAAAAAACTGAAAGCAATTCTGGAACAAAGATTTGAGGACCTTCCAGGCTAGCTTTGGGTATGCTGGGTCTAGTTACCTGAATTAGGTGATAAACTTGGCTTCAGGTGTATTAAGGAGATGGAAGCTTACAGATAGAAGGGGGAAATAGGTTTCAAATGTATCCTAAGTGCTTTTTCAGGTAATGAGAATGAGTAGTTGATGTGTATGGCTCTGTAGCAACCTAACTTGTCCTGACCCTGTTTTTCATCTTTGCCAACAGAATTAGATGAGTTGTGTGATAGATCTGTGGTCTTGGAGGCTTTAGGGAGGAACAGAAAGGAGAAATGGATGGTTCTGAACTTAGTTTTTCTGAAATTAGTTTTTCCTTTCCTCTCTACTGAGCCCATGTAGGACCCTGTGCCAGGTTCTAGCAAGAGCAACAGGGAGCAAGGTACAGGTGCTGCTCCTTAGGAGCCCCAGGCTTGCTGTGTTGACTGTTTCTTCTAGAAGGAATGCCAGGGTAGTGGGGAGACTTGTCTTTGTCTTCTCACAGCTGTCAGAAGTTCAGTAACCCCCTCCTTCACAGTCCACCCTTATTCCTTGTAAATAAGGTCAGGTGTAAATCATTCAGGGACTCCATCTGTAGATGGTCTGGGCGGCCACTCCACAGCCTCTGTCTCTTGTAGAGGATGTCTGTTCTGTGGTGGGAAGTGTCTGTAGTATTGATTTCCCAGAGACATGCCAACACTCAAACAGGGCAAGAAGTCTTTATTAGCCACACGGTGACTACACCCCACTATTCGGATAGTGGGATGCAGTGAGGTCTTTGCCCATAAGGGTCTTTAAAGGAAAAACTAGCCTGGGTGGGGGTTATCAAGGCAAGTAAGCAGATATACGGAAGCACAACATAGCCATGGGCGGATCAGCATGACTAATACTATTAATGCATGATTACAAAAGTCAAAATATAAGCTTGGATAGGGATAGTCTATTTTACAGAAATGATTTTTATAAGCAACTCAATATAGCTAGTGGTAAGCCTCAAGATTGTCAGTGGCCTTGAGCAAAGTTTGTGGTAAACTTGGGTGAGAGATGTTTTTTTGCTCTTTGGAAGGATGGAAAAGGCTTAGGTTGACAACTGGCCATTTGACCTGGAGTTTTCTACAGAGGGGTTTGTGTTTTTAATATCTGACCCCATTTTAAATTTTGTTCTGTTTGATTTCACATTTTACACTCACCAGAGTAACATGCAAGGGCTTTTGTTTTGAAGATCTGCTTAGTAGTTCTCACTGTAGCCCAAATTGGACGGAGAGTTAATTTAAGCTGGGACAAAGGGTAGGGTATGGAGTTACTCACCTGGGCCAAAATTAGGTTTAAGGTACTCACCTGTGAATCGGGGGCCTGGTATTTTAAAATGCCCTCCGGAAGAACTGGGTTCTTATTTAGCTTCCTGCATGTCTGCATTGAAGGATTGGCTAGAAAATCTACCAAGAAGGGTTAGCCTCTGAATTCTAAATTCTTTGGAGGCAAGAATAAGGTGACTTTTTGGAAAAATAAGTGTATAGTATCCAAAGGGAGGGATTTCACTGCAGTACTTCTATACATACCTTTAACATCTAAACCTGGATTCTATTTCTAATCCCCACTACTAAGCTGAGTCAGTTTATGACCTTTTTTCCATTTAATGCACATCATGTTCTTCCCCTTCACCTTGTATTTTCTCTTATCTCCTGCTAGTGACCCTCAGATTCTAGATTCTGCAGAAGAGAAACTGTCTGTGCTTTAACGTGCTCTCCATCTATTTTTTGGAAATGTTCTGTAGGCCTGACAGAAGTGGTTACTGACTCCCTCCCGGGGCTTCTCTGTAAACAATCTTTCAGTTGAGCATCCCATTGGGGAACTGGCTTAGGAAAACAGGTGAATCTCTAACACCGGCAAATGGTGCTGTACCGCCTTCTAATTCCCTGAGGGCTAAGGAGCCTCCCACATAAGTTGCTTTTCAGTGTGAGTGCCTTTACTGTAGTAAACATCTAAGAACATACTGCTGGCAATACAAGTCTGCCACACAGTTGAGGAAGCACAGCCTATTGAAGTTACTTATCTTTTAGTTGTCACTTCTTAGGCAGCTAAGTCATCTGAAGATGAACAGTGTAAACTTAGCGGAGAGCAAACTGATTGGAGCTGACAAACCTTATTTGATAGACTTTGAGACCTAAGCCTGCGTTCTAGACTGCATCATTCAAAACCTCTTCTGTCACTCTAGGGGTGTTTGTTATTCCTGTCTCTAGCCCTTTTACATGTTGGGATCCCATGAGTGGGAGGTTGCAACAGCTTTTCCTGTCTTCTCCTGTGTGAGGCTCTGCAATGGTAATGGCCCAAAGCCAGGTACTAGAGTCCTGTCCTTCTCTGCTGATATTTAGGCTTCACCCCAGAGGAGGTTAGTCTTTGGCCCTCAGACCATTTGAGTACTTTCATGGTTAGGAATTGGCTGTGTGTTCGTGGTCCTCATTTTATATTGGCAGCTTCGGTTAGTCCAAGAGCTATTAGGTACAACAGGAGTTGAACTTCGGTCTTCCACCTTCATAGTCCAAGCTGCTGTCCTTAACCCAGTAGTGATCAGAATTTACAAGCCTTAGGTGTATTCCTAAAAGGGTAATTCCCTT